CTGTCTCTGGGTTTGTATTAATCATGCTACAGTATAATACTGCTCCATCCCCACTGTCTTCTGTTTTCCTACACAGTTTTCTGAGATGATAGTACAATTATTCATTAAAACATTTGATTGGTTACCTATAAGATAGGCACTCTTGTTACCTTTTAAAATTGTGTGTGTGTGTGTGTGAGTGTGAGTCTATGACAGTAGGGGAACGTGAATGCAGGTGGCTGTGGAGGCCAGAAGAAGGCATTGGGTTCCTTGAAGTTGGATTTACAGGTGGTTGTGAACCACCACCCCACATGAGGGGTGCCGAAGTTTAATCCTTTGGAAGGAAGCTGGTACACATAATTGCTGAGCCATCTCTTCGGCACTGTGATGTTTGAATGTATAGGGATAATGAACATAGAGGTAGCATATTACTTGACAGTAACTACTTAACACTTACCAAGTTAAAATTTTCAGGAGACTGGTATAATGACTCATACTTGTAATTCTATCATTCCAGAGGCTGGGGCAGGAGCATCACTACTGTTTGAGACCAGCTGATGCCTAAGTGAGACTCTGTTTCAAACAAGAAAGCAACAACAAAAAGTGAAAACTAACAGTTTTCATGAGATGTGAGGGTTGAAGTTCCCATTTTCAAAAATCAAAGTGCTGTTTCTGTGTTTTTCGCAAGTCCTCATGTATACCTTTGACTTAGGGCCTTGACCTTGTTGATGTTAAGTTTGTAAGCAGCAAAGCAAGGGATATACAGGGGGCACTGGAGCTAGTTACCAGTCTTGCTTTGTCCATTAGTTACTGCTGTGACATTATGCTTGCATAATTACTTGGTTTCTTCAGGAAGGGAAGTCATTTTGGGTATGATGATCATGTGGGTAGTCATTTCCAAACAAGTCATCAGCATTGTTTTTCTTTACGTAACTACATTTGCTATGTTGTGCTTGGGTTGGAAAGGTCTGATGGATAGACAGAACTGTTGAGTCAAGGACTGTAATTTAAAGAGCATGCACCAGGCAGGGTTAGGTCATTACTCCTGTGATAAGTTGCTGAGATATGAATGCTAACGATTCAACTTTGCGATTTGTTTCCTTATGGTAAAATTGAAGGGTCTAGCCAGAGCACCCCAGAGTTTGGAAATCTTTTCAGTATGCTTCATTTACTCATCTGCTGGCTTTTCAAAGTCATAGCACCTGACAGAACTGATGACTAATTGAAATTGTCACCTGTTGATGAGTTGTTTGCCAGACTGTAGGGTTATCACTATAAACCCCTCACAACTCTTTGCAAATGAGTTGATGCTTAGGGAATTTTAGTCACTTAAATCCCTGTTCTTAAAAAGTGTCACCCAACTAATGAAAATTTAAAGGAGTTGTCAGATAAGGACTACAACTAGATCTGTACTGTAGGCTCCCCCTACATGCACCCTATTTTGTAATATTTCCTCTTAGTCCATCAGAGATTGGCCGATCTGGGATTGCATTCATGTCATTAGAGGAAATTTGTGGTAGTGAAGTCAGAGCCTGGGAAATGGGAGCTCTTATTTGCAGCATTGCTTGCAGCCCCAGGACGGTAGGTGAGCAAGTATGCCAGACCTGCAGTATATTTCTTTCTCCAGCTCCTTTGATCTTGAATTTGGTTCTTGACTTTGGTATCCATTATATTCCTTTAATAAATAGTTCAGCTACATATTATGTTCTAGCCATTCATTAAAATATACAAAAACACAGAAAATGAGGCCCAAGTTTCAGAACAGAAAAGGGACTAGGAGTGTCTTTTGTGGTTGTCTGGAGTGTTACTGTAGAGTGACTTCACAGTGTTGGGTCTCTCTAGTCTGAGAGGACTACAGTGACAACTCCTGCTGGCTCCCCAGAAGCAGTGGGTAGACATGATACAGAGAGGAGAGCAAAATGTGCATATCATAGCAGACCTAGTAAAATCTCCATCCACACAGTGTATTTGCAACCAGGAACAATGTAGTTAGTATATAGTTTCTCAATGTTTCCCTCTGTAGCTCTGGCTGGCCTGGAGCTTGCCCTGTAGACCAGATTGGCCTCCAACTCAGAGATTTGCCTATCTCTATCTCCCAAGTGCTGATATTAAAGATATGCACAATCATCGCCCAGCATAGCTTCCTGTTTTTTTAAGAAACATGAAATAAGAGGCTGGAAAATGGCTTAATGGTTAAGGGCATGGACTGTTCTTCCAGAGTAACCCAGGTTGGTTCCCAGCATCCACATTGGTACTACTGGTTATAAGCTCCAGGAGGGATCATTTGCCTCTGGCTTCAGTGGACACTTGCATGCATGTGCACAAAGTCCACGTGTGCACACATATGTAATTAAATATATATATATATATATTTATTAAAAGGTTTATAATTCTGGAACCATTCCAGATAAATAAGGAAATGAAGCTCTGTAATAGAAATGCCCTCAGGTTATTCCTGGTAGAGTGTACATTCCTAGTGGATTGACAGTTGAAGGAAAGCTTTTCATCTGTTGATTCATCTAGTTCCAGCAGTGAGTCTTCTCAGAGAAGTGCCGCAGTGCTCATCTTTTTGGCCTTTTTAATCAAGGTTTCTCTGTGTGGTCCTGGAACTCTCTCTCTGTAGATCAGACTGGTCTTGAACTGTCAGAGATCTGCCTGCTTCTGCCTCCGGAATGCTGGAATTAAAGATGTGCACCACTAGTGCGTGATGCAGACTTTATGATGAGGAAGGTGAGGGACAGGAAAACTGACACAAAATTGCACAATATGAATGACAGAATTGGGTTATAACATGGATGTAGATATGAATCGAGCCCACTATATCCCACGTAGGAGTGAAAAACTTGTGTTCTTTAAATTGCTGACTGAAGCTAGGTTTAGTCTGTTAGATGGTAGATGCTGGAGGAACAGGAATTCAAGCTCTTCTGCCCTCTGTTTCTTAATCTCTTTGGGGCCAGTTTAGCTACATGGAATCTTGCCTCCAAAAAAGTTTTTATAAAATGATACTCACTATGAAAAAGGCATGTGATTGATTTTAGTAAATATATAATTACTGTCAGGTGCTGTAAACATTCCCAAATGTTTATTTTACATTTCAATAACTTCCCTATAGACCAGCAGTATGGTGTGGGGTCACACTTGGAGTTACTGCTTCGAATCTTTATTAGTGCTAAAGGAACTATGTGCTAAACTTTGGGGGCTTTATACACTTGAAGATGAAAGGTTAGGATGTCCTTTCTAGACGGAAAGCCCCAGTTTTTGTGGTATGAAGGTGGTGGTAGACATTAATCTTTATGTCTAGAAGAGATGATTAAATGCATGTTTGCCTTGCTAGTTGGTGACAGATTTGAATATTTAAAACCACAGCAAGCATACCAGGAACTAATGAAAAATTGATGTGATCCAAGTGAGAATTTAAAATTTCATCACATTTATTGTAGAAAATAGCACAATAGGGTAGACCCAGGAAACACTGAGCCATATTAGGACTGACACATTGATAATATTAACTTGTTGACATGTGATAGTTTTTACAGAATACTGAAAAGGCTGAGTGTGTGTGTGTGGTTTCTTTCCAGCTAGTTAGATTTATCCTGCTCATGCTTGGCTTTTTCCTTCCTTTTCAACTTTCTGCTGTTGGTACAACAGTTTACTAATCCTGGGATCCCTAAAGTACAATACTGAACTCTTTATTTGACCCCTATAAACTTAGCTGATCTAAAACCAAGTTTATTCTTCTGTGCTTGAACTGATGGTATTTTTCTCTTCCCTTACTTGCTATGGGTATTTAATCTCTCTGACCTGATAGTGGCTTCCACTGCTTAAACGATGAGGTGTACTTTAACTTGACATCTGAGGCCGTCATAGTCTCTGTAGCATACTGCCCAAACTCTTCAGTTCTATGACCATACTGCTCTCAGTTATTGTTCATGATTCTGTAGATAACACAACACCACTTTATGGCTTTGCTCTTCTCTGGTCTGCCTGTGTGTGATTACTTATATACCGTGGCCATTCAAGGGCAGCCTGTCTCTTAGGTTAAAAATGTGTTAGAGAGTAGCCATAATCTATTGTTAGCCTTTACTTTTTTTGTTCAAATCCGTTCAAATCTGACAATCCTGGTAAAATGTGGGTGTTTCAGATGTGGTTGGAAAAAGCAGGCATTCATGGTGGGTGCACTGGTAGTCCCAAAACGCAAGGTCATCATCATCATCTACTACAATGGTGAGCTGGAAACCAGCCTCAGCTACATTGATTTTTGAGACAGGGTTTCACAAAGTTGCACAGACTGACCTCAAAATGGCTAGACAGCATAGGCTGGCTTGGAACATTGAGTCTTGATTTAGCCTCCCAAGTCCTTCAATTACAGATGCAAAGCACCATGCCCATTTAAAAAAATTTTTTTTTAAATATATAAATGCAGTGCAGCTCCACCATCTGTACTCTGTAGGAAGCAACATTTTAAAAGTGAATGTGCTTAGTTGTATGTCATGGCATATGATTTTAATCCTAGCACTTAGGATGCAGAAATAAGCAAATCTCCTTCTAGTCCAGCCAGGGCTATATTAATGAGACCCTGTCTCAAAAAAATAAAATATTTTAACATATTAAGAAAATTGAGCCCGGTGGTGGCAGCGCACGCCTTTAATCCCAGCAGTCGGGAGGCAGAGGCAGGTGGATCTCTGTTAGTTCGAGACCAGCCTGGTCTACAAGAGCTAGTTCCAGGACAGGTTCCAAAGCTACAGAGAAATCCTGTCTTGAAAAACCAAAAAAAAAAAAAGTTGAGTCATTTAATTTTATATATAATTGATGGTCTAAAAGTGTGCAAATAGGGTAACTACATTTTTTTTTTTATAAAAATCACTTAAATTTGAGAAGCGTTTTTGTCTTAATGAAAAGCGGTCTAATTGTTCTAGAGGTTGGTTTGTAGTCTAATTCTTTGTATAAAATGTGTTTATCGTATGCTGTCGTGGCTTTGTTTAAAAAACTTAAAAATTTTACTGTGTATTATTTTCCATTAGGAAACCACCCCTACTACTAATCCCCCACCTGCGGAAGAGGAGAAAACAGAATCCAGTCAGGAGGTTGCCAACCCAGAGCACTATATCAAACACCCTCTTCAGAACAGGTGAGCTTCTCACCACGGACTCGGTAGGAATGGATTTAGGCATACATGCTCAGGTATCATCCCTCAGAGGATTTTTGTTAGGAGAAGGAATGCTTCTCTGAAGGATAGAATCATAAAAATAAGACAGTGGTCGACCATGAGAACCAGGAACATGGCTGAGTCAAGGTTCCACAGTTTGTGTTGGGTTGGACAATTAAAATAATAACTCTTTGCTGACTTCAACAAAGATTTTAGTAAAGTATAGGTGAAGGAATGAGAGATTGAAACATTGGAAAAGTGTATAGCACATAGGAAGCTAAAATGGACAGCAAAGGCAGACTGAGAAAGGAGATGGGTGTGTGGAGGTGAGAGGAGGTTGGCACATTGAGATGAGATGGAGACTAATTTAACAGTGCGACGGGAAGATGGGTGAGAGTTCCCTATAAAGTTTTCTCTAAGCCGGGCGGTGGTGGCGCACACCTTTAATCCCAGCACTCGGGAGGCAGAGGCAGGCGGATCTCTGTGAGTTCGAGGCCAGCCTGGTCTACAAGAGCTAGTTCCAGGACAGGAACCAAAAGCTACAGAGAAAAACCCTGTCTCCAAAAATCAAAAAAAAAAAAAAAAAAAAAGTTTTCTCTAGCTATACCTATACCTCCCAGTCTGTTTCTGGTTTAGTTAACTGGTTTTTCAGATTATGTAATGAAAATAATTTTTACTTCACTGACAACTGATGGTGGAAAGAAAATGGAACCTTGAAATGTACATGAACCTGGAGAAAAGTACATTGGAACTGACTTATGAAGGCCCAGTTTCTAGTTTCTATGTATGTTTGCCTGAGACAGAAATTTCACTGAATTTACTTTGAAAGTCTGCAGGCTTGTTTGTAATTGTCATATTTTTGTCCTTCTTTATCATATTGTTGACATACTAAAATGATAGGTAAAATGTTTCTTCATAGGAGAGACCCTTGATTCAGTGTATCTGCCCTTAGTGAGGAGCATAATTAATTCTGTATGATGGTGAGGATTGTCACTGTTCCTAAATGGTCTTTACAAGAAAAATAGGATGAGGACTAGGGATGTAGCTCAGTAGTAGAGCGTTTGCCTAGCAAGTGTAAATTTCTAGGTTTGGCCCTCAGTTTTGCAAAAACAAATCATAAAAAGTTGATAAAATTCAAGGTGATAGCACAATACCAGAACCCTAAAGTTCATTTTGTCCTTTTTGTGGTGTTTTATGAATGCTACCCCTAGGGGTTGGATCTCCATGGTTACAGGCACTGATTGCTCTTGCAGAGGACCCGGGTTTGCTTCACAGGACTCCAGTGGATCTCACAACCGCCAGTAACTCGCGTTTCAGGGGATCCAGTCCACCTTCACAAGTCCATGGCACCAGACATGCGCGCGCATACACACACACACACACACACACACCTTACTCTGTCGTTTAGTCATCTGAGCAGAGTTATTAGTTTACTCTTATGGAGGGAAGTAATCCACACCTTAGTACTCGAAAGAAGTGAGGTCACGGAAAATAAACAGATTTACTCAATCTTAGTGGATCTCCTAAGAGATTTCAGTTTCTTTATAAGTTCTAATCTTTTTTTTGTAAAGTACATTTGATACTTGAATCATTACCGACTTACCATAAATTTGTTAGTTTTTGTGTTTTATTTTTTAAAAGATTTATTTATCATGTCTACATAGTATGTATGTATTCTCAGTGCTCTGCCTGCAGGCCAGAAGAGGACACCAGATCTCATTACAGATGGTTGTGAGCCACCATGTGGTTGCTGGGAATTGAACTCAGGACCTTTGGAAGAGCAGGCGGTGCCTTAACCACTGAGCTATCTCTCCAGTCCCTTGTGTTTTCTTTTAAACCCTTAACAATTACAGGATTTATTAATGAGCAGAGAACAGTGTATATAAAGTGTGTTTGGTTTCTCTGGTAGTGTGGTGTGTGCTGGTCAGAGCTGTTTTGTGCCCACATGTGTATAAGTTGTTCAGACCAGATGGGTGCCAGTCTGAAGTGGGAAACCAGGTTTCTTACTGTGTATGTACTTCTTTATTGAAGTTTAGAACATTTCCATATTCCTTTGATCACTTGTGGTGTTCTCTGTGTATGACTCTTGTAGCATGATTTATTGATTGCTCTGAGAATAAATAGTCCAGTGAATTATGCTTATCCTAAAAATGTGGACACATTTCATTTAGAGCATCAAACGTATCACCTCTAAACTTACCAGAAATACTATTGTTTTGTGTAATTGTCAAGCTTACTGCAACAGCTGCAAACTTTTTTGCAAAATAATTATAATTTTTATACTGAATACTCATAATTTTAAGTAATAGGCTTATTCATCCCCCCCCCCCCAAGAAATAAGTATAGGTTTTCAGTTTTTCAAGTCAAAGTGGAGAAAAAATGGCTCATTTATATCACCATTCAAAACGGTATTAGGTTAAACAGTAGATGTGTTTTATATGTAGACTATGTAAAGGACATGTAAACAGATAGGAATTTAGTGAGAAAGGTGCTTATACTGTAGCCCAACATAGCTTGGCACTCACTAAGTGGTCCAGGATTGCTTCCAGTTGTCCTCTATGAGCCCATTGAGTTTTAGGATTGAGTTCAAGTTTGAGCTACCACATGCAACTGAGATAATTTTTGTAGGCTGAGGTTTATTTGAAAAGATGCTTTTTAGAGTGATCTCTAGATTATACTACCTCACACAGTATGTAAATGGAGACCGTTTGTTTCCCGGCCTCCCAGACCTGAAATAATCACATAGGAACTATATTAATTAAAATACTGCTTGGCCTATTAGCTTAGGCTTCTTATTGACTAACTCTTACACATTATATTAACTTTTATCATTCTGTGTATTGTAGCATAGTGGGTAAAGCTCGGCATTTGTCTCCTTCAGCAGTTACTTGGCGTCTCTTTGACTCTGCCTACTTTCTCTTTATATCTCTCTATTCAGATTTTCCACCTGGCTTTATTCTGCCCTGCCATAGGCCCAAACCAGCTTCTTTATTAACCAGTGGCAATAAAATGAGTTCACAGCATACAGAGGGGAATCCCACATCACCTCCTCTTTTCTGTCTAAATGAAAAGGAAGGTTTTAACTCTAATATAGTAAAATTACATATAATAAAATCGGTATCAAGCAAAAATTATAGTTATAATGTTTACTCCATTTACATTTGACAAATTAAGGAAAATATTCTATCATCTGTCCTGTCTTCATGAGTCAAAAGTTTTATATCTAATTTATCCTTTATCATAACCAAAGAAAACTGTATTTTTTTCCAACTCTTCAGAGGCCCCAGAAGGATATAATATTACCTAAATTAACATGAAGTACATTGTTAGCAATTTCCAAAACTCTAGAATTGACAGAGACATCTCCTTTCCCAAAGTTCTTATATAACATTGGGGGCACCCATCTTCAGCCTGTAGACCCATAGTATCCGGCAGACTTATTTCCATGAAGCAGGAAATTTGAAAGACTGTTTGGCTTCTATTGGCAGTTTGTCAGTCACTTTCTTCTGTATCCTGAAGAAAGTTTGACAGACTCTTTCATGAAGCAGGAACCCTGAAGGACTGTCTTAACCTTTAGGCAAGTTAAGCAGTCATTTTTCTGTGGGTCCTGCATGTCCAGTTCGTACAGCATATTATCAAGCAGTCCAGGCAAGAGCAGTTTCTTGTCCAAATGACTAAAAAAACTCCATAAGGAGCCTCTACGATGCCCATCATCCTCTTGAAGCAGATTGATGCTGCCAGCAGCAGATGTATCTCATTGTTATAAAAGTCCTAAGTTGTTAAAACATTTTAAATGCCATATTCTTTTTTTTTTTTTTTTTTTTTTTGGTTTTTTCGAGACAGGGTTTCTCTGTAGCTTTGGAACCTGTCCTGGAACTAGCTCTTGTAGACCAGGCTGGTCTCGAACTCACAGAGATCCGCCTGCCTCTGCCTCCCGAGTGCTGGGATTAAAGGCGTGCGCCACCACCGCCCGGCTTAAATGCCATATTCTTTTAGTCTTTGAAAAGTTTGAAGAATACCTATCCATCTGAAATATTTCTCTACACCTAGAAAACCTAACATGACTACAGGCTTGACTATTATATTAATTATAATATAATTATATTACATTTTTAAATGAGCTGCACAAACATAGTACCTTAATCAAGGGTAGAAATACACACATAACAAAATTGACCTTAAATTTGTAGCGATAAACCAAGATCCATACCAATGCAAACTATTCATCTCTATAACATATCCCCTTTTAAATGTAAACAAATATTTATAAACAGTCATTTAGGGTGTTTGGTGCTGTTTTCTAGAATACTTCCTGCTGATGGGGGTGCTGTTGATCAGGACTTTTGGGGGTATCCTGTATGGTAGCTCCATCTGGGCATTGCTTCACAGGGTCTTATTTGATCAAACCGTATTAATTGGTAAAGAATCCACAGCTTTCTATCCTCTGTGGAAGCAAAACCAGAACCTTTTTTCCAAAGCAGCATATCCTGCCAGGCGATGGTGGTGCACACCTTTAATCCCAGCAGTCGGGAGGCAGAGGCAGGTGGATCTCTGAGTTCGAGACCAGCCTGGTCTACAGAGCTAGTTCCAGGACAGACTCCAAAGCCACAGAAAAACCCTGTCTCGAAAAACCAAAAAACAAAACAAAGCAGCACATCCTTAGACCCAAATATTTAAAGATACCTTTAAAGCATATATGTTGGTTTAGCTTAGCAGCTCCCACAATGAAATGTCTCTCTGCAGTCAAAAAATATAAAGACAATAGTATACATAATTCTCTGTGTATATTCCATCTTTATATGGCTTATTTTTTTCTACTCCTTTAATATATGACGGACTGTACTCTTTTACTTTTACTGTCTCTTTAAAGACTCGGTTGTATTTTTTAATCCTTTTTTCTTTTTATAACCGTCTCTATTCTTTCTTCTCTGTTCCAAGCCTATATACATTTACCCAACACTGTTACCCATTCAGAGGTCATTTTTATCTGAATCTGTCTATATTGCATATCTGTAATCATTTTCTGACATGGAACATTTTAAAATGGTAAGCAGTATGGTTGCTTCAGCCCTGGATGCTGGTCCCACCTCTCTTTGCCTTTCAATATGGCAGAGGTATGTTTACCGCCAGCTCTAGTACTGCTGCGTGGGAGCCATGCTGACCACCTTAACTTTGGAAAAGACTGTATGCACATAAACCCTTTGTGTCTTAAGTAAATGCTAAGTCTGCCATGCAATGTGCTGTGCAGCCTGGAAATGTCTTCGTGTATGGCAGCTAGAATCCACCATGCTTTCCTGCCTGTGCATGCCAATCCAGCCGCTTGCCCAGGAGGGGGTGCTGAACAGCAGGCATGCTCTCGGCTACTTTCCTCCTAACCCCGAGTGGGTTTACAAGCACCCAGACCCAAAGTGTGTGGCTGGCCATGCGTGTTAGCCACAAATGTATGGGTGCCATCTTATAGGCAGAGAAACCCTGCTTGGCCTATTAGCTTAGGCTTCTTATTAACTAACTCTTATATCTTAAATTAACCCATTTCTATTAGTCTGTGTATCATCACAAGACTGTGGCTTACTGATTAACATTCCAGCATCCTTCAGTAGCTACATGATGTCTCTTTGACTTCGCCTACTTTCTCTATATTTATGTTCAGATTTTCTGTCTGGCTTTATTCTGCCCTGCTATAGGCTCAAAGTGGCTTCTTTATTAACCAATAGTAACGAAACATTCACAGCATACAGAAGGGAATCCCACATCAACAGTGTAGACACTCTGAATGATTGTTGAGTTGTATTGTACAGGGAAAAATCCTCTTCAGAATGTATGCAAGTGCTTTCCCCAAATATTTTCTGAAGTTGCTTGTATCTGAGTTGCTTGTATAGAGCATGTCAAACCTAAGGGTACTGAGAGATGACTGTATAGTATTTCAGGGAGTAAGAATTTATTACCCTTAGAAACATGTGTGTGTGTGTAAGGCTTCTATAAACTATAGAAGTAAAACTTTTAGCCAGAAGCATACACAAGTATACAGAAATTGTCATACATTATTTCAAAACATATCTGTAGATCTGTTTAACTTTATTTTTCAGTGTGTTAGACCACAACGTAACATTTAATGATTTCCCCCTTCTCTGCTCCCCTTTTTCCTTTTAGCTAATTTCTGCTCTATTTTGCCTTTAAACAATTGTTCTTAACTGCTATCATATTTTGTACACTATAATTGTCTGTTTTGCAGTGAATCTGTTATGTAGTTGATATACAATGTTATATTTATTTTTAATTGTGGAGCTTAGGATCAAAACCTAGGGCCTCGCATATACTAGTAAAGCACTATTTTCCCAGCTAAAATCCATGCTTTTTAAATGAAAAATATGAAAACTATTGTTTGCTTTTGTAATAAAAACTACTTTTAAAATTTTTTCTATTAAATATACATAGTAAAGTTCAAATAACAGTTTATCTTAAACTTTATTTCTTTTTTAACATTTTAGATTAATTTTTATGCATATGGGTGGGTGTTCGCCCTGCCATGTATGATTGTGCACCCACTGTGTGTATATACTGCCTATGGAGGCCATGAGAGGGCATCAGATCCTGGAGCTAGTTAAAGATAATTGTGAACCACCATGAGGGTGCTGGGAATTAACCTGGGTCCACTGAAGAGTAGCTAGAGCCTTCAACCACTGGGCCACCTGTCCGGCCCCTCTTAACCTTTCAGATCCACAGCTTAGTGATGTGAGTTGCACTCACACTGTTCTGTAACAGAACCTGTTTTCATCCGTAGAGAATGTCCTTTAGAGCTAGCATAGAGGCAAGCCTGGCCACAAAGAGAATTTGAGAACAGCCAGGGTTACACAGAGAAACCCTGTCTTAGACCTCCCTCGCCTAAAATATGTTTAGTTTTGTGTATATGCATCTACATATCTAAAGGTTTTCCTGTGTCACAGCACAAACAGGAGATCACAGGACAAACCAAAACTGGCTTTTACCTGGGTTCCAGTTGTGCAAACTCAGTCACCAGGCTTCCACTGTAAGTGCATTTGCCTGCTGTGCTATTTCCCTAACCCTTTTTTCATCTTTTAAGCTGAAACTAGTTAATTAAATAAGTGCCAGCACCATTTTCTCCAGCCCTTGGCCTCACTTTTGTTCCTTGAATCTGACTACCTTAGGCACTTCATGTAGGTAGAGTCATAGAGGGGTGTGTGTGTGTGTGTGTGTGTTGGGTGGTATTATTTCACACGATCCCATGGTCTTGGAATTCATCCTTGTTATACTGAGTGTCAGAATTTCCTCTTGAAGGGTGAATTGTTTTCTATTGTATGTCAGTGCTATAATTTGACATCATTTTCTTACTGATGGACATTTCTGCCTTTTGACTAGTAAATAATTCTCCTATGAATATGGGTAAACAACTTTTTTATATGTTGGCTTTTTATTTTTAGGTGGGCACTCTGGTTTTTTAAAAATGATAAAAGCAAAACTTGGCAAGCAAACCTTCGATTGATCTCTAAGTTTGATACTGTTGAAGACTTTTGGGCGTAAGTAATTAAGATATTTATACTTTTTTAAGTTGTATAATTTTTTTAATCTTGCATCATTCACAAAATGAAAGATGAAGTGTATCTGTCTCTTCACAAATGTTTGAACTGGTGATTATACTTTTACTATACATTGTTTAGTCTCTACAAAAGCCCTATGTTTGATCTCCAGCACCCCCACAAGCAGCAGAAACAGGGTTTTTATAGTCAGCTCTTTAGATTTGAATAGTCTTTGTTCCTCATTTTTCTGTGAGAATCCTCTTTTTACAGTCTTAGAATTTTTGACATTTTTGAAATTTGTTCCCATGTGCAGTCACCTAGATATATTTGTGTCATAACTGGGTCTGGAGAGCCTTATTTCTGCAGTTTTCAGTACGATACCTGGAATTCCCCTGCTCAGGATACCAAAAGCCGAAGTGATTAGAATTCAGAGACGTGTCAAGAGAATGATGGTATCTGCGATGTTAGTTCATCAATTTTATCGTAATTTGTTAAAGTAATAGATATTTTATCTTTTAGGTTTAGTTTGCAGTGTAGGAAAATGTTGACTTGGAATTGTAAAGTTTTACACGATTTTAAAGTAGAATATAAGCTGAAAGTCTTTTTTGAGAAGTGTGTGTTTAGGACAGGATGTAACTAAGTTGTTGAGGATGTCCTAGAACTAACCTTTACCTCCCAAGGCATAGCACATGTACACCGCCTATGCCTTAGAAGCTTAGTCTTTGTTTTCTGAGGATTAGATATGGAAACTTAAATGTGATAGGCAGGTGCTGTACCATTGAGCTGCATTCCAACTCCTCCAAAGTTTTCTTGATTTCCTTGGAGAATATATAGGGAAATACTGTTTAAGAATGTGAAAGGCAAAATTTTAGAATGCTTTGAGTTACCTCGAAGTTACCTAGTCTATATATTTGTTAAGTTCATATACATGCTGAATTGCATACAAAAAATGGGTTATAGTCATGTAATTCACAGCTGTATGTTTTTCAAGGGCACAGTCAGTATTCAATGTATTTCCAATGCTTGCCTTAGAATAGACATTTAATATACATTGCATCATTAAAAAAGGCAAAGTATAAAATGAATAAAACTCTTGAATTCACTTTTTCTACTAAGAACATTGTAGTGTTTTTATGATACAAGTATATTTAAGCTCTGCTAATTAATTAGTTTTCTAATTAATTGGAGTTCTTGAAAGCATCAAGGGGTTTTTATACTCTAATTGTGCTTACTCCAAGACTCTTAAGTAACTACAACGAAACCTTTTACACACACGAAAAGAAACTCTCAACTAAAGACGTGGTGGCACACACTTAATTTCAGCACTTGGGAAACTCTGAATTTGAGGCTAGCCTGCTCTACAAGACCTAGTTCTAAGACAGGCTCTAAAGCTACACAGAGAAACCCTGTCTCAAAAAAACAAAAACAAAAAAAAAAAGCTCTCTAGTTTCCTACTAAGGAAAAGAAGAGTCTTGAACCCTACCTCCAGTCATATTTGCATGTAATCTGGATTGTTTGGCTTTTACGAGTTTATATAATTGTGTTTCTTATTTGTTGTCTTGTAGAACACAGACCCACAGTTTAGTTAATATAAGCTAAACCATTGGGTACTGTAACTGAGAGATTGGAAAGAATCCTTTACTTTTCTGTACATATTAGGCTACTTATTTATTTCTTACTCTTTTGTAGCAGATTTTATTTAAACAATTCTTTAGTCCATTTTGCTTTAATCTAGTCCGTATAATATTAAGATTCTTGAGGTTGTAGTTTGGGAATAGTGAACCATTAGATACCTTATGCATAATGCTATCTTATTCAAGCTGGATTATCTGTGTAATTTGATAAAATGTAGAATTCTTTCTTAAAATTGTCTAAAATATTGCTGGACAAAAATTAAAGTTAGCATAGGAGCGTGCCTCGTTTAATGCCATTGAAAGTTTGCAGACCTGTAACTGAGATAATGTCTGCCATCCAGTGTTAAAGATAGTCCAGTTTTACTCTAAGAGACTGCAAGAGATAAGTGAGAAGCGTTTTCTCCCGCCAGGCAGTGAATATCAAACATCTCAAATACTGTTCCATGGTTTAAGTATTTTGGAAATACAGGTCCAACTGTTGGTATATGGCTCTGAGCTTGGTATGTGCCCAAGCTCCCCAGCGTTCAGGTGTGACCGACCTGGAACCATTTTTGGAGTTGGAGTTGTGTTTATACCTGGATACTTGCTGAGATGATAAGTTGATTAAACCATTCAGTCTGGGTGGTTTGTTTTCATTTTCTTCCAATTCACAAACAAATGTATAGATATATTTTTGTTAAAATAAAGTCATTTGAGATAGTTCTTTGTAGTTATCTATGTTATAAAATTTCTTAAATGTAATCATTATTAAGACTGGTTTTGTCCATTTCAGATATTAGAGTCAAAAAGGAAAACAAATAAATATACATAAACTTTTGTTTTTTCATATTTTCCAAATATGTGTATATGTGTGTTTGTATATATATCTATGTAAGCACCCAAATCCTGCATTACATATTATGTTTTTAATTATTATTTTCTTTTACCTAGTCTATACAACCATATCCAGTTGTCTAGTAATTTAATGCCTGGCTGTGACTACTCACTTTTTAAGGTATGCCTAATCAATGATTGTTTATATTTATTACAGGACCAGAGCATTCAGGTATTTGTAAGAACTGGCCACAAATTCAGGCAGTTGGCTTTACCAGGCTTGAGTACACTAGTCTGGTGACATAGTTACTCATGGGTACATCCTGGGATTGACTTTGAGCCTTGCTAATCCTGTGCAGCCCTTCCTGGATATACTCGTAGACTGACTTCGTCAACTCATTTTTAACCCATGAGATATTTGTAAACAGACCTTTGTCAGGTGCTAGGATAGGACTTTAATTGGCTCATATTACATAATTTCTAATGTAGCTTCTGAAAGGTGTCTGCTTCTCAGGAACTTAAAGATCCTTCAGATGAAGTGAGACCTGAGGGTCTGATGGTTAAATGATGAGTGGCACTCTCCTGTAGTCGAATGCCTCTGGCACACAGTTCCTGTGTGCTTTTAAAGGCTATACCAACTGCAGGGGTGTAGGGACTAAAAGAAAAGTTGTCAGTGTGGTTGCTTGCTGAGTCTAATTGTGTTGTTATTTTGTAGGATGGTATTGAGCCTATGTGGGAAGATGAGAAGAACAAACGGGGTGGTCGATGGCTAATTACATTGAACAAGCAGCAGAGACGAAGTGACCTCGATCGCTTTTGGCTAGAGACAGTAAGGCTTTAAAATTACAGACCAGCTTTAGGATGTATTTTCTTTGGTGTTTACTCAGGCTTCCTGTTCTAGAAAAGTCCTTGTGCTCACATGGCATTGTATACACTAAAATTGGAACAAAATAGAAATTAGTATAGTCCTTGTTCAAGATTCAGATTCCTGAGGCTTTTGTTTTGTTTTGGATGTAACTGGAAAGTATTGTGTTAACCAAAATAAGCCAAACTTAGAAATATGTGGCATGTTTTCTTTCATATGTAGAGCTTAGGTTTAAAACATATATGTGTGTGTGTTTGTTCCATCATGTGTGTTTATAGGTCATGAAACTAACAAGACCTAATGAGGTGGGAAATAGGCCAGTGAATACATGTAGTAGGGAGGGGGTAAGAGAAAGGGATCCAGCTGTGGGGAGTGCAAACAATGACAGGTATGAAGATGCCATGGTGAAAATAAAAATACATGGAGACAGATGAAGGGCAGTGCTTAGGTGTAGGTGTGACCTTTCCTGCTGGAAGATCATCCCAACCCTCTTCTTAGAAGAGTGTTCTACTGCTCGTCTGGGACTAGAGCTCAGGATCCTACTGCCTCCAGCCTTTGAGTGATGTGCTTATATAAACATGTGCTATACAGCAAATAACCTTTTTTTTTCTATCATGGGAATATCATATACATGTGAATTCCATGAATGGCTTTTATTATTCTACAAGTCAGATAAAAAGTGATTGACATCCACTCCACCTTCTACAGTCAACTGCCCGTCGTTTCATTAACCAAAAATGATAGGCTCTCACATTTTGTGATTAAACTTTTACAACCCATTTATAGCATTGCTAATTAAAAATTATAAAATTTTGAATCTCGCCAGGTGATGGTGGCGCACGCCTTTAATCCCAGCACTCGGGAGGCAGAGGCAGGTGGATCTCTGTGAGTTCGAGACCAGCCTGGTCAACAGAGCTAGTTCCAGGACAGGCTCCAAAGCCACAGAGAAACCCTGTCTCAAAAAAAAAAAAAAAAAAAAAATTGAAATCTCTAATCGAGCAGTAAAGTTGTTGATTAACATTCTTTAGTGTGTGTTTTGATGTGATTCTTTTAGCACTTCGGTTTTATGAAGTCAGGCATTTTTGTCACCACTTGTACTCAATACCTGATTTATAGTTGACACTAACAAAGCAAATAAGCACTTACATGTGTGTATCAGTAATATTTTAAAGCGAAGATTTATTTACTCTTTGGAGGAGAGTGAGGAAATCCCAGAAGACAGTGGTTCTCAGTGTTCCCGATGCTGCGACCTTCTAATACTTAATCATGTTATGCTGACCCCAACTATAAAATTATTTTTGTTGCTACTTCATAACTTTAATGTTTTTACTGTTAAGAATTGCAGTGTAAATACCTATGGTTTCTGATATGGTCTTAGGCAACCATATGTGAAAGGGTTGTCCCAAATGGGACGTGAACCCCAGGTTGAGGCCTGCTGCCGTAGGAAAAAGAACATTTCGGTTTTGTAGGTTGAAAAAAACTATGGCAATGGTAGTGACAGTTTCTCAATAATGTTAAATGTGTTTAATGCCACTAACTCTGCTTTGAAACTGTTAGAACATGGCAGTTAAATGGGTAGCTGTTTCTGTCATCTCGCTAATGATTGTTTGCCAACATGCTAAGCAGCTGAGCAGATGGATATTAATGAGATCACTTTTGTTTGTGACCAATTTGCAAAAAATGTTAAAACATTTGAATTTTTTTTTAAGCCAAGACAAAAAGCAATATAAATTAGTAAAATTTAGACATTTTAAAAGTCAGTTCATAGGTTGGTCTGTGGCCCACAGGTCAGACGGGGCTTGCTGCCAATCTAACCGCCTGAGTTCAATTCCTAGAACCTACTGGATGGAATGGGAGAACCAACTGCTGCAAATTGTTCTCTTGTATTAGTTTGCTATGGCATGCATGTCCTGCCTCCATCCCCAACAAAATAGCAACAACAAAAAATTAAGAATCAGTTATTTTTATTTATTTGCTTTGGGTTTTTTTTTTTGTCTCTGTAGATCAAAATGGCTTCAAACTTGGCAACTTGCCTTTGCCTGTTTAAGAAGTCAACTCTTGATTTAGAAGCTGCTTTAAGTTTTTAACTGTACACCTAGAAAAGAGACCTTTGCTTTCTTCACTGTTGATGATATATTTGATGTAATTTGGATTTTATTTTTCAATTTTTTTTTTTTAGCTGCTGTGCCTTATTGGAGAATCTTTTGATGACTACAGCGATGATGTATGTGGAGCTGTTGTCAATGTTAGAGCTAAAGGTGATAAGATAGCAATATGGACTACTGAGTGTGAAAACAGAGACGCAGTCACACACATAGGGTGCGTTTTGCTCTACCTACCTACTTCTTGGACAGTATTAACTACATCTAGAAGTCTTTTACATCCAGCTTTAAAAACTTAGGAGTTTACAGACTTATTTTCTTTGTAAATGTTTTCATGAACACTCAGAAATTTGGACCCTGTTGACATGGAATGTGTTTGTCCTCTGTAGAATGGGTTTGCAGCATTGGTGTGCGCTGTCTAGAACAGTTGAGTGCAGGTAGTGAGTCATGGTTCCTGTCCATATTTAGAACCCACATGTTTATAAGTTTTTGTATTTTGTTCTGGTAAGTTTTATTCTTTACAAATGTGATCATTCTCCCCCATTCTTCCCTCTAGAATTTTGCTAGAATTTTCTCTGGCTACATGTAAATTGGTAAAAAGAAAAATCAAGTTTGATTCTAGGTGTGATTTATAAGAAAGAAATTCATTGTTGACTTGTCATTTTTCATCTTTTAGTGTCAACATTTACTTGTAGGAACGTTGTATTTCTTTAAAACAGAAATGTGTGTACTAAACAGGATTAAGTATATGAGTATGAGCTATATATATTAGAGTACCTAATCTGCAATATTAAGAAAATCTCTCCTTAAAAGCCCATAAGTTGGCTGGACATTATCCCAGCACCTGGGAAGCAGAGGCAGGTAGATCTTTGAGTTTGAGGCTAGTCTGGTCTATATAGTGAGTTCTAGAACGAGCCAGGTTTATGTAGATGCTGACTCAAAATAAATGGATGAGTGGATGGGCAAACACACAGACGTCCAGGTGTTAAAAGCTTCCAAGGAATGAAGCACATCTAAAGAAACAACAAAAAGCTACAGAAAAAAATGCAATCTGCATGGCTATGTATTTTGAGTGGATATGAAAAACAAGCTGACAAAATACCCGAAAAGGAGCACGGACCTCATTTGTCAATTTCAGAAATCTGAATTTTCAATTCTTAGGGGAAAAAATACCGAAACTCAAAAATAGGGAGAAAGACTCAATTTCACAGAGCAGAATTAAAATTCTTCTAAACAGGTACTTTTTGAAATAACTAATCTGGCAACTAGTATGAGATGACACTGTAATAGCTGCTTTAGTCGTAGTAATCGTAGTTCCTTACACAGACTAGTGGGATTACAAATATGTGTAAAGTGATTAAGTATGGTTGTGAAAGTAAATGCTAATTTTTAATTTTTCTAGTTATGCTGAAAGAAAATATTTTGTTTTGCTTCTTGTGAGCATTTCTTAATGTAAAGGCTAATAAGGGATGAATTTTTTAAAAACTCTTTTTAAAAAAGAAGAGTTAATGGTCCTTTTTTTTTTCTTTGTCTTATAGGAGGGTATACAAGGAAAGGTTAGGACTTCCTCCAAAGATAGTAATTGGTTATCAGTCCCACGCAGACACGGCTACAAAGAGCGGCTCCACCACTAAAAATAGGTTTGTTGTTTAAGAAGACACCTGAGTGTTCTCACAGGAGACTGCGTCACGCAATCGAGATTGGGAGCTGAACCAAAGCCTCATCTAAGCAGAGTGGACTGCACTGAAGTTTGATTCCATCTAAATGTTGCTAAGATATAAGAGAAGTCTCATTCGCCTTTGTCTTGTACCTCTGTGTTCATTTCTTCCCTTCCTCCCCCCCAATTTTTGCTAGTGTGTCCACTACCCCAATCAAAGAATTACAGTATACGCCACCCCAGAATCCGCAGGTGTGTTCCTGGCCCGCACTGTAACAGCTGGGTAGAATTACCGTGATACACACATTTGCCTTTCCACAGTATTCGAAAAAGAACTTGCATTTCTGTTACCTTAGCAGGAAAAGATCTGTTTCTGCTCCACTCCGTGCAGGAGCGTGTTTTGCTGGTGAGAGTCTGCGTGCAGTTGTCCAGCAACCTCGTGTCCTTCCACAGCGTTCTCCTTGCTGGCCTCTTGCTGATGGCTGCTAGAGTTTAATTTATTTGCTTCCCTCCTTGATAACATTACTGATTCTGATTTCAGTTTTTCATTTGTTTTGCTTTTGTTTTTTTTCCTCATGTAACATTGGTGAAGGATCCAGGAATATGACAGAAACGTGGAATAAACATTAAATTTGTGCATTCTTTGGTAATTTTTTGTTTTTTTGTAACTACAAAGCTTTGCTCAAATTTATGCATTTCATTCAAATCAGTGATCTATGTCTGTGTGATCCCTAAACATAATTGTGGACTATAAAAATGTAACACCATAATTACATTCCTAACTAGAATTAGTATGTCTGCTTTTGTATCTTTATGCTGTACTTTAACACTTTGTATTACTTAGGTTCTTTTGTTCTGGTTACAAATGGCTCAAGTAGAAAAGCAGTCCCATTCATATTAAGACAGTGTACAAAACTGTAAATAAAATGTGTACAGTGACTTGTCTTTTAGACAACTAGAATTGTCCTTTATTTCTCCATCTCTGTAGAAGGAATCTGTACTTCCAATTGCAAGGCAGTCTCTTGTGTCTTCATAGTGTCTTCCCCATGCACAGTCAAAGTTTGGAGCACTAGTTTATTATTATGTTTATTACAATTTTTAATAAATTGAATAGGTAGTATCACATGTAATTAAACTGATGTGGTTATCTTTTTTAATAAAGTTAAGGCACAGTTTTTCAGTCTTAGGTTAAATAATGTACTTTGAATATGTTAAAATTCATGAGAATTGGGATTTTGGTGTATCACCATTTGATAGGAACAGTGGCTATAAATTTGTTGACTTTGAGATGTTTTTACGTAAAGAGCAGAAAACTAGCATAAGGAGAGTATAGGGGAACATGTGTTAGGATTCTTAGTGTTTATTATCTGAATAAAACAGAATAAACAAGTATTAAGAACTATTTATATTGGTCAATTGTTACAGTATGGTTTTCTGTAAACTTGAAACCTTGATCTATTCTTTCCTTGTATCATTTCAAAGTAAACTTGAAGATATTTTGTCTGCAATACACAATTGTATAGTTCAGATCCTATGAAATGAGGTGTGGCTACTATAGACTAAATGGTAAGCTGAACTATGGGAGCAGAATGGAAATCACTAGTTGAGAAAAATACTGTCTTTAAGTGGTTATTATTATGAATTCATCCTTTTCACACTGATAAACTTGATAAAGATCCTTCTGAAATAAATATGGAATCAATAGCATTGCTTTTATTACAGACTTTTAAGATGTCCCACAGATTGCTCGATGTCACAGTCCCTGTTCAGTGTTCTAGCAGTAGCAGTGTTTATCATCTCAGTGTTCTATTCCTAATATCTTCTGCATAAATGTGGGTATTTCGGGGATGTTCCATCTTTTTATCATTGTAACATGGTCTGTGCTGGGCTACATTCATGGCTATTTTGTGGGTATGAGTTTCAGGGCGGACACCTGAAGCTAGTGGATACAATGTGTAGTCATGAAAATGCTGGTGATGAGACTTTGTTACCAACAAATTGAATTCTAGTAGTTGGCCTATTAGAATGCTCATATTCCTTTAATTCTAGAGTATAATTCAATTATAAGAAGTATCAACTTTAAGTAGAGGAAGAATCAAAATACAATTTTAACGTTAAAAGCTTTCAGTAGGATGCTTTTTTGTAATAGAAAAATGAAATGATTTATAATGGATGAAAAATTGTGATCTAGCTGCTCTTGTCAGACTTCCTTTTGTACTGCCAACTCCCCAATAATGACATGGAGACTTCTTATAATTGTGAAAGCTTGACCTTTAATTTAGGTCTGTTCCCAACCAGCTCTTACAACTTAAATCAAGCTCTTTCTGTTAATCTCCTGTGGCTTTTTACTCCCTTCATTTTGTATGTCTAGTTTGCTTGTGTCTTGCTGGTGTCTCCTGTGAGCCTAGATTCTAACCCTGAGTTCCTCTCTCCCAGGAAGGCCTGCCTGTTCTCTCCTGCCTAGCTATTGGCCATTCAGCCCTTTATAAAACCAATCAGAAGGTGATTTAGGCAGAGACACATCTTTACAATGTACAAAAAGATTATCCCACAACATTGTAATGGATAAATTAACAATTCCACAGAAAGATTTAGTGTATGCTATATAGGAATTAAATAGCTGCAACACTTACATAATACTAATTGTTAGGTGGTGTTTCAGCCACTTCACATATACTTTGGCCTGCATAATAACTATAGGTATCATTTTTCCATTTTACAAAGGATGAAACATAAGCATTAATAGTTAAATAATGTTAAAGCTTTTATCAGATGTGAAGTATGAATTTGAGTCGTAGAATTTGCTTCCAGTGGTCCTTAGTCGCTTTCAGGAAATGTAAAATCTCGTGGGCTGTAGTAAGTTACCTCAGTTACATTCAGCCAGTATATAAGATATAGTATATATATTATAGGCATATAAATATTTCTCCATTTTACTGCCTTTGCCAATGAAGCTAATAGATTTTTTTTTTAGGCTTAGTGTGTTAACAACCAGCTAAGTTCATCACAAATAACCATGGAGGCAAAGTTACAGGAGTTAGTGTAAATGGATGTTTTCATTGGTGCTCTAAGTCATCTAAGATATGGCAAAGTGTTCAAATTGTTAGGACTTATGAAGTTCTTGAATGCTTGTTAAGTTAGTAAGTGGTGTGGGATGGTGGTGCATTCTTTGATCACAGATGGATGATTCTAAGTTTGAGGCCAACCTGGACTACACAGACCTTTTTTCAAAAAGATATGGGCTGGGATCATGCCTCATTAGAGTGCTTGTCATGCATGTGCTAGTTCTTTGTATGATATGATGAGCGGGTTTGTGCTAGTGTCTGTCTCGTTTCTCCAGACTCTCTTCAGTATTAAGTAGTTAGGGAATGGGCAACTGACAGAGTCAGAATGCAGGTCAGGGTATTCACTACAAGTGAAATACTAGCTACACTTTGGAACTGGTGTAGAAATGGCTGAGTATCTTCAAAACTTCCCCAGCAATTTATGATGTAACAGTAACATGTGTGATCATTTCCCACTAATAGAAAAGGGATATGTTTTACAGAGTCGTGTCTGGCAGTATGGGAGATTTAGACTGGCCCTTCTTCACAAAGAGCTCTTGAAAGACCACTGTTGTGTTTTCTTAGAACACTTACCTGCCCACTAATCCTCAGCAGCCTGTGGTGCGTGTCGTGGCACCGTACAGCTAATGGTTTAGGTGTAAAGTTTTGGTTCTGTTGTGCAGCATATTAAAATAACTAACTGTTGAATCCTGCTTGCTGTGGATTCCAAGCATTAAATCGGTCCACTTACTAGCCAGAGTAAGGCTGTAGACATGGAGATCCTTGTGTTTGGTCCGCTGGTGGAAGTAGTGAGGTGGTGTGCGTGTGATCACATGAAGTCCTTTTGTTTTTCAAGACAGGGTCTCTGTAGCTTTGGAGCCTGTCTTGGAACTCGCTCTTGTAGACCAGGCTAGCCTCAGACTCAGACCTCTGCCTGCCTCTGCCTCCCAGCCCCAAAGGGGTGAATTTAACATTTTAATTTTGCTCTCCTGACCTCATGACGACTCAGAAGTTTTGTGCAATTCACTTGCCTGTTTCTTTCCTGTGTGCTAGAACAGGATGTGCTAGGCCACTACTGTAAAGACAGTTCTAAAGCAGACTTTGAAAATGAATGAGAGCCTCCATTAAGTTCTGCAAACAGCTTTATTGAAATTGAAGGGGTTTTTGTTGTTTTTAAAAATACAGGCAGTTTGTGGCACATTACTTTAATCCCAGCACTGGGAGGCAGAGGCATCTCTGCGTTTAAGGCCAGCCTGGTCTACAGAGCTAGTTTTAGGACATCCAAAGCTTTACAAAGAAACTCTGTCTTGGAAAATAGCAAAATAACATAAAAGGCCTGGTTGTCTTGGAGAGTCTCAGCTCTAATGTTGAGTCTAAGTGATTCCAGCAATCCAGTACATGGAAGTGCCAGGTTGCAACTTGGTGGCCTTTTCTTTTTCCAAGATGTGTATGGGCACTTTGTCTCACGTATGCATGTGTACCACGTGTCTGCAAAGTGGTCAGCAGAGTGCATCTAATCCCCTGGAACAGAGTTCTGAACAGCTGTGAGCCACCCCGTGAATGCTAGGGACCGACTGGATCCTCTGCATGAACAATTAGGCGCTCTTAACCGTGCACCATCACTTCAGCCCCATAACACGACAGCATTAGATTTCTTTTAAGAAAATAATTTTAGTGTATTCTCATTGTAATTTTGCATTGATCTATGTTTTGAGGGTAGCAGCAAGTCTTTTCTTTAGTCCCCAATTCCAAATACTGAACTGATTTTTAATGTTTGACAAAACATGCCCACTTTCCTTAAAGAAGGTAAGCAATATGTCCTGTGTACCTTAATTTTGCTCACTTCAAGGCATTTCTTGACTTTGTTATAAATACCAGATTTTTCTGTGTGTACATTAGACATTTGTATGTGGACTTGGTGTATGTTATTTCTTTTGGATCTTAACTATACTAGTATTGTTTAATAATCTTGGACTCCTGGTACACATGGAAAGCAGTATTTTTCTCTGCCTTGGTGTTTTTTTAATTTATCTTTTAGTGCTTTGCTTCCTGTCTCTACAGACCTGCATGAAGCTCTGTCTTTATATAAGGAAGATAATTTGCTTTGCTTCAGCAGTACTAAATGACATTTCTTTCTCTTTCTGACACATATGATGCTAGCCTACACTTAAGAACCTTTGTCTTTTGTGGGGCATATTTCCTCCCGTGTGTGTGTGTGTGTGGAGAGAGAGAGAGAGAGAGAGAGAGAAACCCTCATAGTTATTGATAAAGTTATGTTACCCTACACATGGCTATGCCATGATGGTTGATGAGAGTACATGCTATTTAGGATTTAAAAAGACTTAGCTCTGGCAAGTATCTAATGGAATGACCTATAATTGGAGTGTGCCTACTTCCTGTCATCTTGACAGCTGTTGGATGTAGCTACTCTGAAATGGCAAAGGGCACTTAGAAGTTGTGCAGTGGTATCTTCTCATTTTACATGTGATACTGCTGGAAATTTCAGGGTTCAACTTATGCAGAAAATACTTACGGATGATCCCAGCACTGAAGAGGCTGAGGCAGGAGGATTAACGTTTCCAGGCCAGCCTTTACTCTGTAGTCAACATCACGTCTCAAAATTGAGAGTTTAGGTTTACATTCTTTAAAAGCTGCTTCATTCTACTTCTGGAAGGTACTTGAATGTCATTTACTTTTCCCATTGAATGTTCTGTATGGATTTTCATCGCTAAAAATTAGCATTAGTTTATCAATGACTGCTCTTATAAGTTCTCCCAGGACTGTCAGTAGTAGGGCTTAATTGGCGTTGTCACTGGAAACAACTGAACCTGTGCCTTTCAGAGTTTACCATGTACACCAGTAACCTGGCTGCTTTGTCTCAGGCCTATGATTCTTCCTAAGGTGTC